ATTAATCCTGGGCAACTTATTCAGCCATCATCCCTGTTTCCTGAGGTACATATATATAGATATAGATATAGATATAGATATAGATATAGATATAGATGATATAGATATAGATATAGATATAGATATAGATATAGATAGATATATATCCTTGGATTCCTAATCATGGGGAAAGGATAACCACATGGACAGACTGACCCATTTTCTTGATCTCTTTCTCAAACTTCAAGGCTTTAACTCCAGCCTCAAAACTCCTTGCTGGTTTTTCTTTAAAGATGTGGCTGAATTCCCTCAATCCCCACCAAATCATTCTTGTTTCAAACTAAAAACTACAATTCACATAGCAAGACTATTTTTTTTAAAAGGATACGAAATTATCTGGGTGATGCCTACATGTAACTGTAGCTGCTCCCTATAAATGCGGCACATTCACTGACTGTCAAATGTTACTTTTCCCTTCAGTACAAATATATATTTAACAGCCAAGGATTTTTCCCTCTAAAATATTTCTTATTCCTTAATTAATTCCTTGATTAATGACATATTTTAGCTCTCTCCTACATTGAAGAGAAAAATGTTGTTTTCTCCTTGAATTCATTTCCATTCAATTCAAGTTTCGTTTTCTCATTATGTAATTATCAGCAACAAATATAAAAAGTAAAGATGCCACTTGGTTTCTTCACTGCCTATAGTGAAATGTGATAGGAGAGATGACCAAAGAAAGATCAGTTAAATGTAAGGGAGCCAAGATTGTTTAACTAAGTTAAAAAAAAAAAAAAAAAATTTCCCATTCCTAGTCTCTCTAGACAGCATATTCCACTAAAATTAAGAAATAGTTTCAGGGTAAAGGTTGAGCACCCATGCTGTCAGGAGAACATGGCCTTGATGAAGCCAGGGGTGTGGTTGTAAAACCCTTCTAAAATAAGGGGACGTTCTACAGCAGCCATACAGGGAATCTAAGGTAGACAAAGGTTACTCGTGAAGATATTTGTAGATATGCTGTTAGGTAGTGAAGTGGATTATAGCTTGATTAATATGAAATTCCAAATGTTTAAAATATTATACTAAATTAGACTCAAAGGGTTAGAGAGCATAGAAAACGAAAAGGTGTCTTTGGACCTCTGTGGGCACGTGCACAGGCACAAAGCTGAGAAAACTACTCATCTGCAAATACAAGTTCCCTCGTATGGAAAAGGATGGATGACTTGGAGGGAAGAACCAAGAGCCCAGAGGACTGGGCCCTCATACAGGAACCGACAACACATGCCTGCCCGGATTTCGGAATTGCTGTGGACTGGCAGCACCTGCCCATGTGCCTCCCATTCTCTCACTTTTTTAATTGGAGTGCCTACAGCAGTTACATTATGCCTATCCTACCACTATATGTTGGGTGTGTGAGGGACATATAACTAGTCCTTTAAGTTCCCAGCTCTTTAAATCGAATGGAATGGTACTCAAGAAGCTGTGCCCAAGGGACTGCACCTGAGGAGCTTCACCTACATCTTGATCTGACCTAGATGACAAAATCCTGGGATGCTGATGCTTCATTGGAAAGAGACTTGGGGGTCTTTGGAGAGGGGATGTGTATATTTTGCATGGAAGAGGGATATAAACTGTTGTAGCCAGAGGGTGGAGTGGCAGATTGTATTTTCCAAATATGGTTGCACCAATATATCCCATCCCCATTCTTCTTACAATGTGGTGATGTCACTTGTCCATCAAGATGTAGGATCTGTGTTCCCTCTCCTTTAATCTGGGTGGGCATGTGACTACAATAGAAGAGATGCTTTGTAGCTTCTGAGATAAGTCATAGAAGGTGATGCAAATTTCCCTAGTCATCTTGGGATGCTGGCCCTTAGGACTCAGCCACCATATTGAGAGGAAGCCAAGAGGTCACAAGTAGTCGGAAGCCTCAGCTGAAGTTGCAGCCAACAGCCAGCCTCAACCACCAGAAAGTTGAGTGAGTAGCCTTCAGATGACTTAACCCCCAGCCTTAGCACCACTCCAGCTGATGCCAAGTAGAGCAGAGATGAGATGTCCCTGCTGAGCCCTGCCCAAATTGTAGAATCGTCAGCAAAATAAATGTTGTCACGCAAGCCACAGAGTTTTGGGGTGATGTACAATAGATAACAAAGAGATTCTGGTGCTAGTTTGATGTAATGTATATGAGTTTAAGACTGTTTATTCCCCTCCAGTTGCTTTTTCCAAGTCTAAAGAAGTCAGAGGGAATTTTATTCAATCATCTTTCAGAGTCACCATCAGAAGAAGTGACTAAAATCAATTTTTTTACATAATCTCAGTTTATCCCCATCTTATTTACTTCCTACTTATTCTTTAATATGATCGTCATCTCACATTTAAGATATCTATCTCAGTGCTCGCTTCGGCAGCACATATACTAAGATATCTATCTCCAAGAGACTCATGTTTTTCCTGAACTTTACAAGCAATTTTGACATT